ACTTCCAGATCCCTCTGCTGCTGTCCATCGTAGGAGTGACCAAGCCCTCCCTTCCATCTACTTCCAGACCCCTCTGCTGCTGTCTCAGTTGAGCTCCCAAAGCTACCATCAGGGCCTCAAGAGGATGCTGAGGGCAGACCCACGCTGGCCCTGGCCCTGAAATGGAAGAGCACCTAAGCCTGGCCTGGACCTAAGAGATGTCAGCACAGGACTGGTGTGGGCCCTATGCAGGCTGCTCACTGTCACCTACTAAGCCTGTTACCCAAGAATCTGCTCAAAGGGTAGGGACACCCGGAGGAAAAGGACAGAAGAAAGAAAGGAGGAACAGAACAAGATTTATGTGTACACACAGGGTTGCTTGCATAATTGTACTGCTGATCTCTGGTGGTCTATGGAAAGCAGCAGTTAATGCTTAATTTTTACTTCTTTTCACCTTTAATTTCTTATAACTTTTGTTTATTTCCAATTCTGCATACATATATCTGAAAATCTAAACAATTAATTTGAAGACAACATTATGCAACACAACGAGCACTGTTGAATTCCTACTATGTTAGTGAGATACTGTTATCATTTTTAACTTTTTTAAATGACTTTTATTCTCTTTAAAAAATAAAACAGCAATGGAATACCCATCTCTGGCAGAAGTAAACAGAAAAGGGGGATATAAATGAAGGACCATTTTGTAGTGAAAAAAAAATATACACACACACACACACACAAAATAGCTAGGATAGGTACACAGCTACTTTCTCTTAGTTCAATGAGAAGATATACACTAATAGTGTTTATACAAGATATTATATCTGCATCTTATACTATGAATAACTACTATGAAGACAACAATGTGCAATGTATTAATTATTGTAACTGTCCTACTAACCTGTTTTTGAAACTGTTTCATTGCTATTTTATCTTTTTTCTCATTAAAATGAATAAAAAATTAAATAAAAAAGTTAGATAAGCAGAATCAATATAATTAAAATGACCATGCTCCCAAATTTTATATAACTAAATGCAATTGATTTGTCTATGTTTTTTTAAAAAAGGAGCTGGCCAAATAGCTCAGCAGATTAAAGCACCTGCAAGCAGGCACAGGGGCTAGGGGTTCGATCCCCCAGGCCTGCCACACTCGCCCTGCCCCTGGGACGTGTTGAGACAGCAATTGAGACTGGGCATGGTGGTGCGCACCTGTAATCCTAGCTCTTGGGAGGCTGAACACAGGCAGATCATTAGGAGTCTGATCCAGTAGTGAGACCCTGGACGCCCTGTAGACTCTTCTCTAAAATATGTTAATTAAAAAAAAAAAAGCCTAGACTGGGCAGTGTAGTGAGACCTTTTAAAAATTACATTAAAAATAAATGAATCAGGGCTGGGGAGATGGCTCAGTGGAATAAGCGCTTCCCTGGCAAGCGCAAGGGCCTGAGTTCAATCCCCAGTTCTGCAAAATCAATCAATCAATCAATCAATCAATCAATCAATCAAATAAAAACAAATTAAACCTGTTCCCCTGCTCCAGCTGTACAGCGCCTGCTCACATCTCAGCCAGCTAGCCTGCATCATCCACAAGCACGGCATCGATTGCTATCTCAGCCCAAGGCCTGTGGCTGTCACCTCCGCTGTGCACGCAGAGTGCTTCCCCATCATTACCTGCAGCCACCGTCTTTTGGAACAGCACCGGGTTGGCCACCAGGACAAGCAGCAGCGGCAGGTACGTGGTAACATAGTGGGGGATGGCGTGGTCCAGGCCCCTCTCACACCTGAGGTGGACATTGAGTCATTCTGAAAAACCAGGCTGCGGCCTGTGCCTGCCCCCTGATGTGGGCGGGAGCTAAGGGGAGGAGAGCATGACCATGTTTCTACTTCGCCTGCAGGCAGTCTGACTTCAGCTGAGAAAAGGCAAGAGACTGCAGGCAAAGCAAACCGGTCATCGTGTTTCTAATAAATGGGAGGCCCCTAAAGCATCCCGCTGGGGGAGGCTGCAAAAGGGAAGACAGGAAGACATTCCGATCACCACACAGTGGCCCACACCTGTCATCCCACCTGCTTAGGAAGCTGAGGCAGCAAGACCACAAGTGCAAGGCCAGCCCAAGCAACACTGAGAGCCTGTCTCAGAGTAAGTGAAAAGGGCAAGGGGTGCAGCTCAGCGGCAGAGAAAGGCAGAGCCGTGTTCAGGGTCCCAGGTACAATGCTGACGTTGGAAACAGAGAAGGAAAAGGAAGACCTTCGAGTAGCCCAGGGACCTCAGCAGCTGGGTCTGGGATGTGACAGAAGCCTAAAGAGTCAGCCGGCTCCCTTCCAGCAAGCGAGCACAGGCAGGGCCGGGGCAGGCAGCATGGGCAGCTGGTGGTCATGGCTCACCTGGACACAGAGGGGTAGTACAGCATGGCCGCTCCCTCGGCACAGAGCAGCGCGGCCAAGCCCCAGGCCATGAGGTGGTAGAGCAGGATGGTGCTGTAGAGACAGAAGGACTGGGTGCCATGGCTCAGGGGACTCCAGGTCAGCCGGGGTCACTTCCCAAGCCACTTCCCTGCAGACGAGCTCTTAGAGTGAGTTTGCTGCTTTTTAGGGAGGGAGAAATTCACATCCATAGCATACAATGAACTGTCTGAATGCTGGAGGGGCTGTGGAGAAAAGGAGCCCTTGCCCACTGTCGGTGGGAGTGCAGACTGGTGCCACCACTGTGGAAATCAGTGTGAAGATTCCTCAGAAAGCCTGCAGTGGGTTGTCCCACTCAACCCAGCTGTTCCCATCCTGGCTATTTTTCCTAAAGAACTGAAAGTATCACAGCACAGCAATATATGTGCACCCATGTTTATCGCAGCACACTTTGTCATAGCTACACCTTGGAAGCAACCCAGATGCCCATCCGCTGAGGAATGGGTACAGAAGATGTGGTATTTTTACGCAATGGAGTATTACTCAGCTAGAAAAAGGATAAACTTGAGGCTTTTTATAGGTAAATGGATGCAACTAGAGACCATACTCATAAGTGAACTAAATCAGACTCCCATACGTAAACATGATGTTGTCTCGCTAGTGTAAGAAGCTGAAGGAGTAAATAAAATCTGAAAGGTACAATAGATACTGTGAAAGAGAAAGAATCAGTTCAAAGGGAAGGAACAAGTCAGGTGAGGAAAAGGACAAAAAAAGAAAGAGAAAAGATATATTTATATATATTTAGGATAGCTTGGATAATTGCACTGCTGATTTCTGCTGGTCTGTTGAAAGGAACAGTTAAGATTTTTTAACTTCTTACTAATTTCTTATAACTTTTTAAACCAATTTTGCATGCTTATATTTGACAATCTGAACTAATTTGAAAACATTATCCAATATAAACATTGTTGAATTCCTATTATTTTGTTTTGTGAAATTCTGCATTGTTTCTAATGTTGGGGGGGGTTGCTGTTTTTATTCTCTTTAAAAAATAAATTTAAAAAATCAAAACAGAAAAGTGAACAGTGTGAAGTGAGCAATTCAGGGACACTTGGTGTGGCTGCGGTCCTGTGTGGGCCCAGCACCTCTGCACCACCCCCACTGCCTTTGTTCCCCTTAGCACTCACCCCCCAGTTCCCTCAGGCCCACAGGCCCTGACACCACACATGGCTTTTCACACTCCTCTCCCAAGCATTCATTTATATTCTGAGACAGGGCCTCTCCAAGTTGCTAAGTTGCTGCCCAGGTCGAGCCCCCTGCCTCAGCCTCCCAGAGTGTCGGGCTTGCCCTAGAGCACCACCAGAGTGTTTATGTAGAGACACCTACAGGACCACGTGGGCTCACGTGCCTGGCTTCCCCTGCCACTGTTTTTGAGGTTCGTTTGTGCAGCAGTGCCCTCTGGAGGGCTTAATTAGTCTTAAGGCTTAATTCTGTCACACTTGGTTTCTCTGCCCATCTGTCGGGCACATCTGCTTGTTCCAGTCCTTGGGCTACAGTGAATAGCGCCACTGTCCACATGCGTAGGGGACTAATTCAACTCCTCTATGCAACCCTACTGAGAAATGCAACTGTTGTGCTCTGTACTATTTTTTAAGGTTTTGGTCTCTTTTTTTGCCAAGTTGTTTGTTTGTTTTGTGATCCTAGGCCTCAGACCCTAGACCTCGACCTGCCAGATACTCTGCCACTAAGATACGCCCTCTTCTGCTGCAAAGTCAACTTCCTGGTCTGGGGAGCTAATAGAAAGGATTGACACAGGGCCCTGATACTCAGCCACACCCCCGAACCTTTCTAAATGTTTCTATATAGCAATAAACCTTCATCATACAGCCCAAAATGGCTTCTATCTCCTGAGCTCAAGTAATTCTCCTGCCTCAGCCTCCTGAGTACTTGGGGCTATGGTAGAGTACCACTGGGCTTAGCTCCGATTTTAATGATTTCCATCCCAATACAAATGGCTATTTTTTGACAATCTAAACATGACTCATCTCTATAAAGCCATGGAATAGGTAAGTGATCTATAGTATCCTCTGAGAGCACTGCTCTTTTCGAATCTGCCACAACCAGAGTAGGCTCCACAAATTTCCAGTTTGAAGCCGGAAGTGATGGAGGTGCAGTTCTGTAATCCCAGCACTCCAGGAGGCTGAGGCAGGGGAATCACAAGTTTGAGCTTAGCAGGTACAACGTAGCAACTTAGCGAGATGCTGTTTCAAAATGGATGAACTTTAAGAGGGCTGTGGAGGTGGGTTAGTGTGAAGGCCTCGGGCCCAACCTCCAACACCAAGGAAAATTCTTTTCCTGTGTTAAACTCCAATCCCAAAGATGGAAGAAGTGAGGAAGTGGGGCTTTGGGCAGGCAACTGAGTCTCAGGGATAGAGCCTTCATGGGTGGGATTAGTGTCCTCATAAAACAGACCCACACTGGCTCATTGGCCCTGTTCCTCCAGGAGAGGACTCCTTGGACCGACGCCATCTATGAAGCATCCCTGTAATTCTGGAACTTGGGGCATAAACACGAAATAAGTTCAAGGTCAGCTGACCAAACTTACCTACACCCTGTCTCAAAAAAGAAGCTGGAAACATTTGTGATAACTGGAATAAGGGTCCCCAAAGATGTCCATGTCCTAGTTTATACAAACTAAGAGTATATCATTTTATATATTCATACATATGTTGAATATGTAGAAAAAGATCCATGAGACAGGATTAGACCCTTACAACATAAGGCTGAGTTCAGCATGCCCACCTCTTACTTTTCTACAATAAACTTATAGTTTAGTGTAAGAGTAGCCAGCTCTACATCTAAGAATATTTTCCTGAGTGATACAGGAAGTGATTTATATGTTTACCCACTTGACGTGATGCACAGCAACTAGTGTGCATGTGAGCGAAAGAGTCAGAACAGGATTTGGACTCCCCTTTCCACTCTATCTAACTGGTCCTGTGTATGTTTGCCCGAGCATCACAGAGGGCCCAGTGTACCCACACCCCTCCAGTACTTGTTTTAAAAAGTTTTCTTTTGGGGGCTGGGGAGATGGCTCAGTAGAATAAGTGCTTGTCTGGCAAGCACAAGGGCCTGAGTTCAATCCCTGGTTCCGCCCAAAAAAAAAAAAAAAAAAAGTTTTCTTTTAATGTCTTTGGTAGAAGTAGCCCAGTTCTGTACTATGGCATGTGGAAAACCTGCCTACAGGAATCACGAGATGAGCTTATATGAATGACCCAATGGAATCCAGGGATCCACAACAGCAAAGATTCTCTGGGGCCGGGTGTGTAACACAATGCTAAAGCATTTGCCCAGCACATGTGGCCCCTGGATTCCATCCTATATAATATAAAAGAAATTAGGAAACAGAAAAAAAGAGGAAGAGAGGTAAACAGAGGGGAAGGGAGACAGGAAAGCAGACAATCTTTACCAGCTATGCAGAAATAACCAAAGGGTCAGGCGTTTGATGCTCTATATTCCCTACTGGCTGTCAAGAAGGTAGAGGGGCCACAAGCTAAGGAAAGTAGAAGTTTTTAGAAACTACCCCCAGTGAAGAACGAGAGGAACATGGGATGCAGTTCCTCCTTGGAACCACATGGTGGTGCCTGTGTGCATCTAAGTGTGATGAGACTCCACAGGGAGACCTTTTATTCATATATACATCTCAGTACAATAAATCCTAAAGCTCACAAACTAGATGAAGCCAGCACTACCCATCATCCTGGCAAACAACACCCCACAGCCTACAGTGAAACTCAAAGTCAGCAAGGGAGGCCAAAGGAGCGGTGTCAGGGAGCAAGCGCAAGACCCTGACACTCAGCGGAGACAAACAGGACCAGGGCACCAGAAAACAACTGTGGCTTGGGCCAGGAAGTGCTGCTGGTGGTTACGGGTGTGCCACAGATGGGCCAGGCAACGAGGCCAGGTGATCTGAGCCCGGGGCCAATGCTAATTTCCTATCTTGGTGGACCCTGGACATTTAGCAGCACCTCAGCTCTACCCAGTGGACTGCAGACGGCAAACCTGGCCCTTATGTCCATGACAGTACCTCTGTCCTGCAGACCTGCGGATCACCAGGTAGGCATCCACCGCGTAGCAGAAGAGCCACCAGAAGCAGGCGCTGTACAGCAGCTGGATCCACATCTGGAAACAGGGAGAGCCCAGCATGAAGGACTCTAGAGGCAGGGACTCGGTGGCCACCTCCCCCATGCATGAGAGACCAGCGTCCGAAGGCAGCACTGGAGAATGGGGACACGGCATGCGCAGCCTCCAGGCCCAGGAGGGGTGTGAAACTGTCCTGTACCTCAGGGACACTCATAGGCCATGACTAAAAAGTCTGAAGATGCCCGGGGGTTTCTGTGAGCAGCAAGGAGACTCAGAGTTTCCCTCAGCCGGGAAGGAGGAATGAAAGGATCAGGGCACACTGTGGGTACAAGCCGGGCCTCTGGTAGTATGAAACACTCCCTAGAAGACACTGGGAGGAAGACAGCACCTCCAGTGGGATGGAGGGAGGGCAGGCGCCTTGCTTCCAAGGCAGCAAGACCAGAGGGTGACTTGGTCAGAGGGAGGCATTTGTAGAGTCGATGCACACTGAAATTGATTTCATGAGCAAAAAGCAGCCAGCCTCCTTTCTTCTCAGTTGCCCCCACTTTTGTTTTGTTTTGTTTTATGTACTGGGAATCAAACTCAGGACCTTGCTCTTGCCAGGCAGGCACTGTGCCCTTCCCGTGGGTTCTGAGTGTAGCTCTGTCCACAGTGACAATCTCCACAGCAAGGCATGGTGGTGCACACCTGTGATCATAGCACTCAGGAGGTTGAGGCAGCAGAGGGCGACAGAAGTGGACAAACTTACCGCACTCCCCACACAGAAAGCAGCAGGCCACACATCTGTTCTGTTCCCAGTGGAGATGCGTTCAACAAAATCTGGAGAGGCGAGCCACACAGAAGACCGGATGACCAGCCCTGAGAGAGACGAAGATACCAAGGCGTCTGATCTAAATTCACCCAAACATGACAGATCTCATGGACAAATAAGAAGTGTCGTGGGGATGATGGTGCACAACTATAATCCCAGTGCTCAGAAGGCTGAGGCAGGGGGATCACTGCAAGTTTAGGGCCAGGCTGGGCTACATAGCAGTCTCAGTCTCTATAGTGCAAAAACAAACCAACTGACCAAAGCACTTAATAGAGGGCAGACGGCTGGCTCAGCGGATAAAAGCATCTACAAGCAGGCGCAGGGGCCAAGGGTTCAATCCCTGGGCCTGCAGCATGGGCCCCACCCCAGGGGTTTGCTGAGATGGCAATTGAGACTGAGTGTGGTGTGTGCCTGTAATCCCAGCTCTTGGAAGGCTGTAAACAGGAGAATCACTGTTATAAGTCTGATCTAGTAGTGAGACCCTGAACACCCTGTAGACCCTTCCCTAAAATACAAAAAGAAAAAAAAAAAAAAAAAAAAAAAAAACAGAGGGCTGACCAGATGGCTCAGAGGATTAAAGTGCCTGCTTAGGCATTCACAGTGGTTGAGGGTTCGATCCCTGGCCTGCTGTGCCAGCTCCACCCCCAGGGCACACTGAGATGGTAAATGGACTGAGCGTGGTGGCATGTGCCTATAATCCCAGTGCTTGAGAGGCTGAGAAACAGAAAGGATTCCTACAAGTGCCATCTTTGCAGTGAGACTTTTTAGACCCTATACTAAAGACATTTTTTAAAAAAAAATTCTTAGAATGAGGAAGGAAACCAATGTTTTCCATTCCTGATAGAGAAAGGAAATATTCCTTCCTCATCTTATTCTTCAAGTCTGAGAAAGGAACTTAAGGTTACATGGCATTTATCTGAAGTCAGGGTCATGGGTGTCTCTACACACAAGACAGAAATGAATTGGGCCCTGGGACACACAACCCAGCACCCATTCACTGTGGGTACCCAGGGCAAGTCACCCACCATGAACAAAGCCAAGCACGACTGGATAAGACCAGAGCATGACAGTTAGTGTCATCAAATAGTTGTGAAATGTAAGCAGAACTTGCAGCCTGATGTGAACAGAACTATCACAAAATAACACAGATAACCAAACATACAGAGGCTAGTGAGAACAATTGTTTTTAATTAAAGTGATAGCATTGGAGATAGATGTCTAAAATTCTTGTGTCATGGGGAGATGGCTCAGTAGAATAAGTGCTTGCCTGGCAAGCGCCAGGTTCAATCCCCAGCACTGCAAAATTAATTAATTAATTAATTTAATTCTTGTGTTTCCATACTGTGGACTAAGGTCCGAATAGGTAGAATAATCTGAAGTCTGGAATTGGCTTCAAATGAATCCAGTAAGGAGGGAGAAGGATTGTGTAAGGCACACACAGATTCATGGCCCTTGTTTCTGTATTACATGCTACATTAGGTATGCTGGAGATTTTCCAAAAGAAAAAGTTAAACAGAATGGCAAAAGCTGGGATGGATGCGATGGTTCACACCTGCAATCCCAGCACTTGCAAGGCTGAAGCAGAAGGATTGCCCCAACTCTGAGGCCGGCATGGGCTACAGAGCGAGACCAAGTCTCCAAAACCAGGGGCAAATTCTAGTTTAAACTTCTGTAAAATGTGTCATACTACAGCATCAACAGACCTAGTCTGCTCCACATGGCAGTGAACCGTTGTGCCCCTGTGGGCCATACTCTCTCTGTTCAGCACCTTGCTCTGCCCTGTAGGCAGGGCTGCAGACCAGGGCAAACACAGGGCCTGTGTCCTCTACCGCTTCCCTTACAGACGCTGACGTGTGAATTCTTCTGTTTTCTCTGGGTTGTTTTACGGCAGGGTCTGGCTTTGTAGTCCAGGCTGCACTCAAACTCACTACACAGGTCGGGCTGCCCTCGAAATAACATCAACCCTCCTGCCTTAGCCTCCTGAGAGCTGCTGCAGTTACAGGCCTGTGCCACCACACAAGCATAAATGGTGACACTCACATGTCACCAAACATTCTTTTGAATTTGAAACTGTAAAGTCCCACTTGGCTGGGCCTACAGAAAGCATGCAGGAGAGGCCAGGTCAGCTGAACATAGTGGGCACCTCAGGGGTGCAGACTCCAAACCTGAAAGGGGCTGACGTGTAACTCAGTGACAGAGCACTTGCCTAGTATGTATGCCACCAGCAGCAATAGCAAGGGTTTTTTTGTGGGGGTGGGGTGCAGGAAGGCAGCTAGCATGGTCCACAGCTGTCAGCCCAGCAGTCTGAGAGCAGAGGCAAAAGGATTGCAGATTCCAGCCCAGCCTGGGTAATTTAGCGGGCTAAATTGAGACCCTGCGTCAGAATCAAAAAGCGCGAGGTCAGCAGGAAGGCCCAGGATGCAGTCCTCCAGACCTGGGCCCTGGGTACACGCCCATAAATCCTCCTGGACATATTGGCCAGACTGTCTCAGAATAAAGCAAAGGAGAGGGGATGTAGCTCAGTGGTAGAGCACCCTTCAATTCAACCCCCAGTACCAAGGGCACACCTACACAAACACACAGCGATGTCCCTTAGACTGAATTTCACTGACCGCCTTGTTTTGCACTTGTCACCCATGCACCCCCTAGGAAACTGGCTCCGGCTTTTCTAAACTGGGAGCCCTCCGATGTCCCGCCCAACCTGCGACCCCATGCCCACCCTGATCCCCAGATCCAGCAGGTCCCCATACCCGGCCAAGCCCCCCAAAGCCAGGATGGGGCTAGTCCCCAACCACAGGCCATGAGCCCTGAACCCAGCACCTAGCAGGTCCCCACCGGCGGACCACCAGCTGTCCCCACCTTGAAAGGAGCACCGAATGGGTCACATCTTCAAGTTGTGCTTGCCCTGAACCCCTAACCCAGCAAGTCCGCACCTGCGGCCATGCGCCGTGACGTCGCACTCCACCCCACCTGCGTGATGCATGCCCTGGTCCAGCAGTGAGCCCTGGGATCGCTCTCTTGGCCTACCCCACCCTGGAGCGGATCGCTCCCCAACCCTACCACACTGTGAGTCATGCACGTCCTGAATCGGGCAGTGAGCATGTCCTGGTCTGTATCCAAAGGCCATGTGCCCCGAAACCCCCTGGGTCACACGCCTGAAACCCGCACTCGTGGGCCGTGCTCCCCGGACCTAGCATGGAATGGGTCATCACTCATCTCGCCTGCTCCATGCCCCAACGGACACACGGTACAGGTCCTGTCCCAGCCTGCAGATCACGTGCTCAGAACCGGCACCCAGCAGGTCCCGGCCGTCCTCACCCATGGGCCACGCCTCACCCACCTAGGCAGCCGAGCACATCACAGGCCACTGCGGCGCGCACCACTCGGGCAGAGGCGGGCGCGAAGGTCGAGGGCGCCCCGGGAGCCGCGGACCGGCGCAGCAGCTGCAGGAGGCCGAGCGCCAGGCGGAGCGCGCAGCTGCCCAGGCAGAGCCCGTGGAACTCCCGCGCGCGGAAGCTCAGCACCAGCTGCGTAGCCGCGTCCCGCGTCGGGCAGCAGAACGTCCCCAGGCGCGGCGAGGCCATGAGTCCTGCTCGGGACGCAGCTGGCTCTGCCGGTCGGTCGGCGAGGGACCCCGCGGGGGCCGGGTCACGCGCTGCTCCGGCGGGGGCATCATGTGCCGGAAGCGCTCCCTCCCGCCCCTTGGGGGGCCGCGGAGGCGCTGGCGCGGTGGGGGCTGCACACGCACGAGGCCTCACGAGGTGCAGCTCTAAAGCCCTTGGGGGCGGGGACCAGCGCCGCCCAGAGGTCTCCCCTTTCCCAGGCACCTCACCTTCGGGGATCAGTCCTCTGGCCCAGGCTGCTAGCAGCCATCTACCCCTAATTGGGCTTCTGGAAAATGAGAGCCAGGAGCATGGTCACACTGCCTGATTGGGACTGCGACACCAAGCTTCACCTGCAAATGTCCCTCCTAAGCAGTTACTGTGGCCTTTTTGTGGTCCTTTGCCCCCATAGAAACAGCCCTATAGAGGCATGACTTTCTTTTAAAGTTAAGGAATATCGCTTGGCCGGGGAGATGGCTCAGTGGATTAAGTGCTTCCCTAGCAAGCGCAAGGGTCTGAGTTCAATCCCCAGTTCTGAAAAAAAAAAAAAAAAAAAAAGTGGGCGTGGCGGTGATACAGGGAGAAAAACTGGTGGGTGACCTCCAAATGATACAGGGAACTTCCAAATGACATAGGGAAAAATGGTCTCCCGACCTGACCTGCACGAGTTCATGTTCTCTAAAACCAAAGAATGAATTTTAGGAACAAATGGAGGTTATGAGCAGAATATATTTATTGAGGGAAAGAAAACACCTGTCCAAGAGAGGGACAGGAGGGGGGGGGCCCAAGCGAGTTGTCCCCGGAAGCTGTCTCTTCCAGGGTCTTTTAGAGTGTAAAACCATGTATGGCTAAGGTAGAGAAAGGGGGAACTTGCTTAGGTGGATGTGGGGTGGGACAAAACTATGGTCAACCAATGAGATTACAAGTACCATTGCTCAGGTAAAATTGATGAAATATGGGACCAAATGGGGAAGGGAGTCACATAGCAAGGGGGCATGAATGTAAAACAGGACCTTATCAGGTAGCCATCTGATAAGGATTCTTCTTGGCTTTCTCAGGTTAATGATCAATCTGGGATGCTAACCTTTAGGGAGGTTAGCACTGTTTGGTCTTTAGGTCTGGCTCAAGCAGGAGCATCCGTCCCTCCCACAGTTGTAAGGTAACTTGTCTTTTGTGCCGTCTCTTTGAGGGCCTGGCCCTGTGTGACTGCCTATAATATTTGCTTCTAACTCGGCTGTCTGTAACAGTGGTGCATGCCTGTAATCCCAGTGCTCAGGAGGATCATTGTGAGTTCGAGACCAGCCTGGGCTACAAAGTGAGCTCAAAGCCAGCCTGAACTGCACAGTGAGACCGTATCTCAAAAAGACAAGAAAAAGGGGTTCTATTTAGCGTACATGTTTCAAAATTGCAACATAGTGAAGACGACAGTAAGGATATAATAAAGGGGTTTTTTTCTTTAAAATCTTTAAGGCTAAAGATAGAAAAGATGAAAGCGTTCCCTCTAGACTATGGCCGTTTGTGCTGAGATAGGATCTTGCTATGGCGTCCAGGCAGGCCTTAGCTCACGATGCAGCCCAAGTCTGCGTTGGTCTCACAGGGATCCTTCTGCCTCAGCCTCTTGAGCGCTAGGATTATAGGTCTGCACCATCACTGCTGGCTTGATTGCCCTTTTTTAGGCTTCTTTATTTATTTATTTATTTTTAATGTATTTAGGACAGGGTGTTCAGGGTCTCACTACTAGATTGGACTCATAATGACTCTCCTGTTTTCAGCCTCCCAAGCTCTGGGACTACAGGCGCTCACCACCACGTCCAGTCTCCATTGCCAGCTCAGCGTGCCTCGGGGGTGGGCCAGCACAGCACGCTGGAGATCTAACCCCGGCAGCTGAACTCTGCCTAAGCAGGCACTTAGATGGCTGAGCTATCTGGCCAGTCCTACCCTGTATATTTTTAGAAGAAAAACAATGATGGGAAGTGTAGCTTTTCCTAGAGCTGTTGCCTAGCACGTGAGTTCCAGTCACTGCACCCTCCTGTCTCGGACAAGAAAGAATAGGGAAAATGAAGTTGCACCATATTTATCATCAACAGTAAATTCCTGCTTGGGACACGCTTGTTTTGCTTTGCTCTGCTGTGCTGTGTTCTGCTTTAGAGACAGGGTCTCGCTGTGTAGCTCAGGACAGCTTTGAGCTCACTATCTAACCCAGGCTGGCCTTGAACTTTCTAGGATTCTCCTGCTTCAGCCTCCAGATAAGCTCATTCAAGATCACAAAACAAAACACCCTTGGACTGTAAAATGGGCTTCTTTGTTGTTGTTTTCAGTTAACCAAAGCTAATGTGGCCCTTTATTTCCAGGGATTCTTCCTAAACATTCTGGACAAGACTTCCTGCCCTCAGGCTCCTCCTCCACATTTCCACCTCCTCCTTGTGACACTGGAGCCCAGGCAGCTTCACAGTGGAGGGACCACAGCCTTGGCTTTCTATGGGTCCCAGAGGGAAGCCCACCAGCCCTCTTTAACAATGGGCTGCAGACACCAGCGCTTCAAAAGACTGAGCTCTGGCGTGACCACCAACTATGAACTCAGCCTGTTGGGCTGCAGCTGCCCAGCTGAAAGTACAGCTGATCAGATCAGGGACCTAAGCAGGCTCAGTGTGAGACTTCGCAGATGGGGCAGGGCAGATCATCGAGCCTCATCTTTTGTTTTTTGTTTTTATTTTTTTTTAAATCTTTTATTGAGGGCTGGCCAAATAGCTCAGCTGATTAAAGCGCCTGCAAGCAGGCTCAGGGGCCAGGGGTTTGATCCCAGGGCCTGCAGTGCTGGCCCTGCCCCCAA